GCTAGAAGCATTTGCCGAAAAAGCCGGTGCCGGTAGCAACAAAAACTGCGAGGGACTGTACAAAAAACGCATCTGCGCACGGACAGCCCGTGTGTTGGCCAATTATCTTACTCACAGCTGATGAGTGTTACTTATCGGTGAAGGTATCGTCGATCGAAGGATCAATTGGCCATCCAGACAATCTCAAGGGATTTGGTACTCGTCGAAGGGAGGGGATGTAGTAGGTGCTGGTAGGGACGTTCGGCTCAGGTTAGAAAAGCCTGATGTATCTGTGCCGTAGTAACACCATCCTTTTCCTAGCCTTCTAAGCTAGTATTAGTGATATGGGCGTTTTCGAATATAAAAAACAATAATCTATTTAAAAAAAAACCTTCGATTAGCTTGTATTTAGGCTAGCAAAGCAGTTCACAACTTTCTGCCGAAACTGCTGCATAAGGCGGTAATCAGTGTGCTGGTGATTCTACATTAATCCCCTTTCCGTGCATTCGTTTTTCGTTCTACCTCATTCTTTTGCCAGTCCCATGTTGCTAAGGCATTGCTCATTTTTGCGTTTTTCTTTTAGAGTCATCGCCTATTTTTATTGCTGCAAATGTGATTAAATTGCAAAAGAAGGTTGGTCCGCCGAAGGAGCTGAAACGAAAGACAATAATCAAAGTGAGTTCGTTCATATAAGGCATTTTTGGAATACATACTCGTGAAATTTGCTCTGTGATAGTATGCTTTTTGAAATCTGGGATCCCCAATTTCTGTAGTCTGTTGTGGGATAGCCATTCTTTGTACATGCGACACCTTTGCCCTTCTGCTTCTCGTAAAAAAGTCCGTTATTTGGCAACAATATGGTTATTTTGGGATTATTACAGGATATGAAAATGAATCCAAATTATGGCCATCAGATCAATCCGATTAGTCGCCTGATGCAAGTGATGCAAGCACTGAAGCAGAGTGAGCCGAAATTCCAGCTTGTGGCCGAACGTGGCCAGAGTCGTTACAAAGAATTTGTTATGGAGGTTCTCTTTTTTCATCGAGCTGTGTGGATGATCAGGAGGGATGGCGCCATATGTTCGAACAGATTTTCAAGTTTTGACTGACTCACTGAAAATTTGAGGGAAAATACTCACCTGCAGATGCAGTTCCGGCTGTGTTTACTGCTGCTTCCAAACTGCGGTTATTTCTTTCCCATAGGACTGGTTCTTCTTTACGTACATCTTTGATTTCGTTGAGTGAGTGAAGTGCTGCAGGTGATCTGCGATAACGATCAACGCTGTGAAGGTACAGGGCCGAACAAGAAACTTGCAAAGCGAGCTGCTGCCGAAGCAATGCTAGCCAAAATTGGTTATGTGAAGCCGATGCCAAAACCCGGAAAAAGCCTGTTGAAGAGGCGACCAAACGATGTACAGCAGCCAGTTGAAATTGGTAAAAATTCCCCTGCACATCATTTTCATATTTTTTTATCAGAACTTCTTGGTAATACAACTTCTCAGCCATGTCATGTCAACCAGTTGAAAAATGCTCTAACTTAGGAGCAGCAGTAATTACTGTGTATGCAGTTTATTTGTTGTTCAGGAGTATTCAGTCTGGAGGAAGCCCAGAAAATCGAGGAACTACTGGACGGCAAAAAAATCGAAAAAGCAACG